AATTCGACGCGGGCGAAGCCGCGGGCCCTAATTTGGATCTTGGTGCAAATCTAAAACTTTCTGCCTTGCTCACACCAGTATACAGTGTGACAGTTTTTTGGGCAGTTATTTTCAGAATCAATAATATTGTCCCGAACATGGAAGGGTTAAAGGAAAAAATATACCGAGATGTGAAACATCAGTACAGTGTGTGACAGTTTCTTGGGCAGCACCATTATTATTTTCCCGAGACATTGGAAGTGTTAAAACAAAAAATATACTGAGATGTGAAAAAGCGTTCTTTATAAGTCTACTTATAGAATAATTCTACATTTTATTGCAGTCGGCAAATTTTCAATATGGCATTGCCTTACGCTTCATACAGAAAACTAAGGCTGAGTTGCACCATCTTACTTTAACTTTGACAAACGTCAAAAATCTGTCAAACTCTATACAAAAAGCACTGGTTATTGTTATTGTTACTGTTGAAATAAGGTGGTGCAACTCAGCCTAACAGTAAAACTGTTTTACACAAAACGTCAATCAGCATTAAGATGACCCACGCTGAACTGTCCCACCAAACTCAATGACAGGGGGGCGCTACCATCGTTCAACTATATGGTTTCCAACTTGGCAAAAATCGGAACCAGCGATTCGGTATTGACGGTGGCGCCCCGCTGTCAATGTCATGGATAGGACAGTTCAGTATTTTGGAACTATATTTGTGAATTTGCCTGCCCGCTGCGTCGCATCACCCGAGCTGTGCTGCACCGACACGTCACAAAAACACGAAAAATGGCATTCACCTGCGTCGGGGCGTCATTGTGCTCGAATCGTTTAATGTACGATCAACACTCTTTGTTCGAAGAGCGCTCAAATTTCCGCGAGGGTAGTCTGAGAAATGTATCGCTGTCTTCATGCTGCGAGTAAATACATGCCGGCTACATCCATCTTGGAAAATCGTTAGGTTAAACGCACACTACGTGAGAACAATGGGAGGGAAAGATCATTACTCATTAGTGTAAGACTCTCCCGATGCAATCATGTACGCAAGCAGTAAAAGCTACATACATAGATATAGTTTTCGATTCAAAATATCATAGGAACTGTTTTGTTTCACTGCCACTGTTTTATAAAGTGTTTTCAAGTGTTAAAATTGGATTTTAGCTCATAAACATACGTAAGTAGGTAATAATCGCGACGAGGTACATTTTTGTGATTCTTCCTTATTTTCTTCATGGTCATATTTTGTAGGAAATATTAAAATCCTGTGATATGGTGCGTACACCATAAGATGCGTAACGTATTGTATTCTGAAGGAAGCCATGAAAAATGAAGATGTGTTTCCGGTTTTCCTTATACAAACTGATTGACACTCCGGCACTGTTCTATTACAATACGTAAGACGACTAGGTATGTAGGTAAAAACGCTTTCGCTTGGAAATTGTAATAGAAGAGGACGTATGAGCTTAACACCCGTATTCACAAACATTACTATGAGGTCTCACAGTGCACGTGGACGCACAGGGTGACACACGAACCAATCACAGAGCTCTATTTAACGCTGTACGTTCGATTTGCTGCTTCACTTAAGCGAGCATCGTTTGTAAATACGGGCGTAAGTCAAAGGAGTAGCTTAGAATCGAATACAGTTATTATTATAGAATGTCATATTGTATAGTCGTGTGTCCGCAGCCTAACTTGCCCTTTACCATCAATCTTCGAAAACCGTTAGAAAAACGTCTGTAATGCAACGGGATATGGGATACGTGCTCAGCCTGCGGCATTCTTATGATGATTCTGCAACTCCTGCCTGTAAATAATGCTGGCGACGTACCCACTCGAGCAATATTGGTGATTTTACGTATTCTTTACAATATTGACAGGGACATTATCCTTTGCTTCCGAATATATTAAATATCGTGCACAAATGACACAATACTCAATTGAAACGCGAGTTGAATGTATTAGCTTACAATAGTGACTGAGTTTCTTGCGCTGCTTCTTCTCAGCACTGGTCCATTTATTGTCCCGAAGCAGTGGTAGGAATAACACTGGGACGGTAAAACTGCTTTTAAAAGTCTATTTGCAAAAATAAATGAGTTTTTTATAAGTTTTAATAAATCATGAATATTATTATTTCAAATCAAATCACATAGGTACTTCAGCATCGTCGTCCCAAGAAATGAAGTGTTATCTCCGGCGATCTTCCACTAAATTTCCAAGCAACTAGTGGTAGTTATGACGATATCGTGACCGATGTCATTGCTACATAATAATATAAGCCATCGAGAAATGAATGAATTAGCTGAAAACGAATAAGTTTATTTAAACCCGTGATTCTACTATCTGTATTCTTATTGGTTCTTGTAATATTTGAAAGCAAATCTATACAATGCTCTTTGTAAAGTGGGATTTCTTTCACTTTAATTCTACGGCCTTTGTTTCGACCAGCTAGATATCGGATTCAAACAAAATATCGGATGACGAAGCCATATAATGTCAATACTTATTCTTTATTTCTGAGAAATTTTAACATGAGACTGCTCAAAATATAATTTTTCTTTTTATTTATTATTCAATAGAAAGTAGTTACCTTTTTTTAAATTTTTTGACAGCGCAACCGTAACAAAATTACTAACCAATATAATTTGAAATCGTTGATTCGGTTTACCAGAATAAAACAAACCCTGAAGTTCCCAGATCTTCCTTTTCATGAAAAAATTTGTATTAAGTGAATTATTTGTTAATAGTGATGATGACTGGGTAATGAAATAGTAATTCTATTTAGTCCGTCAGACAGATAATTAGAAAATATTAGACTCATTTTTTTTTTCATAATCGAATAATTACAGTATTAGGTATATTGAGTTGAAGTGTCGCGTGACGTCACTTTTGAGTAAAAATTCTACTCAAGCGTGACGTATCGCGCCATTTCAACTCGATGTAGCACTGTTATTATTTAATTATGAAGGAAAATAAAAAAAATTACTCTAATATTTTCTAATTATCTGTCTGACGGACAAATAATTGAAATTTTGTCATCTATCCTATTGCATAAAATATTGAGTCGAGTACCTACTTATTTTTTTAACTTTCAGAGTAAGTACATTTAGAAGTAGGTATGTAATATCATTCTAAATTACAATGTACTTAAATTTTAATTTAAAAGTTTAAAACAAAGACTATCATCATTCCCAATTCAATTTAAAAAATCAAAAACGCTGTCTACCCTATGGCCAGTCCGATAGTCGCGCTTGATCGAGATTGTTTCATTACGAGCTGCGATTAATCGCCAAAGCCGATTCGACCCACATCAAGCGAGTGCGAGAAAAAATACCCGACCGAGTCGTGAAGTTTGTTATAAGTACCGAAAATTACGCGTCTGACGCTGGCACATGACAAGTAGAACAGTCTATCCAAACTACGTACCTCTGACTTTGGGCTGGAGACTCTTGACTCACAAATACCTCAATGGTTAATCAAAGAGAGTTAAGATTGGATCAAAGTCTCAATGTAAAAAACATAACCTTCCTTCTGGCGCAGTCGGACATTTATAAAGTTAGCTCAGTTTTGTAGTCTTAAGACGATAATGTAGTATGCATTTCATTTTAGGTATACGAGTGGGTAGTATTCATTTTTAGCTGTGATATTTACGCTGTTGTTATTATTACACTCTGTGTGAAAGTATCAAGCACTTACTAACCACGACTCAAAGATATTAGGTACTGTGTCTGTCTAACGGACGAGGGAAGCTTTAAAATTCCAGTCTCCAGCTCTCTCTACAGAAATAAACGTAACTTTACTGACCTGTCCCAGCTGTGCCGCACTCCCGGCCCGACAGGTCACGTCTCCGGCGCTATGGGCACATCTATTACTATAGGAAATCACCTTCGTGACTCTTAACTCCCGAACATAAGGCCGCTATTCCGTCAAAAGGCATAAAGTGGCCGTTTTTAAGAGATTCCTCTCGCGTACCACGCCAGTCTAAACTTATTAACTTTACATGTACGAATGGAGCTGGAAAATCGATCGGAATGGAAGTAGGTGTTCCTTTGTCGTGTTAATTATGAGAACAATGAGCAGCGCAATTTGAAGGTACCGACGCTGATACAAAGCGAAACATCCGATACAACTCGAAATGTACAATTTAAGTTAATTTACGATTTACTTTGAGTTATTTTATAACAAACATATAAAGTAAAAGTCAGTCGATTGTAGTGACTGTCTTTATATTAGACATAGCCCTCCCCTCACTATATCATCTGCGTAGTCTGGAATGAGAATAATCGCTCGATCGTCAGTAAAATCTATCGTTGTCTCAAACTTTATTCTCATATGCCTCACTGAGCTCAATCATTGTCGATTAGTGTCTATTTATAGATGAGACATTCAGCTAATCTAGTCCATCCTTTTTAACCTATTAGTACCTACCAATTAAAATAGTAAGACACGGGTATTAACGCGACGTTTATTAATGAGTTACATTATGTATTCACGGCTTGACGTTGGAATCCGGTGATTAATAAATGCAAACCGCGAATTTTGCCGTCAAGTACGAATACGGATACTGTGAGTGTTTTGTGTCGGGGTAACATCACTAGTGGTAGTGTTGTAACAAATGACAATATGAGGGTAGTTGAAAATCTTCAAGCCCGCCCGAACGGACGACGCCGCGAACCCCAGTCTGCCTGTGACCACGGCTGCAGCATCGCAGCCGAAACGTCAAGCCGTGAGTACATAATGTAACTCATTTATAAACGTCGCGTTAAGACCCGTGTCTTACTATTTTAATTGAAATGGAACGCGAAAGTTTAAAATCTAGTACCTACCGTCCACTGCTGGAAAAAGGATCCCCGAGCACTTCCACAACAATCGGTCCTGCGCTGCCCACATCTAGGTGCTTCCCGCCACCTTCACCAGATCGACGGTCCACCGAGCTATAGTGGACTGTTTTAATCTCTCTACTATTACAAAGCGACATTATTTATCTATTAGACTAATGCCTTGATCACACGTACCGAGCAAACGGGCGAGACAGTGTTCTCGGCCGAATACTCGGTGTGTATGAACATTACGACGAGTGCTCGGCCGAGCGCTCGAGTATGTGACGAGCTCACCCAACTGTCTCGACCGAGTAAACATTTTACTGTCTCGCATGTTTACTCGGTAAGTGTGATCAAGGCTTAAGAGCTAGTGAACGCCAGACCTACGTCATTTTAAAAAAGCTGAAAGTTTGTCAGCTTATGCTACCAATATAGAATAGAATGTTGGTGAATCATGAAGTTTGGGTCATCGTGGCTTTGGCAGCCATCCTAAAAAAAACTGTCTGGCAAGGAGTTTGAACTGTCAAAACTGTCTGGCTGATGAGGAAACTACTTCTAATTATTGCCCTAATATTTTATATTTTATAAAAATCAGCTTTTATGGTATAACGTAGGACTTAGTCTATATTATAAGTAAGTGGGAGTNTCTAAACACTCTCTATACAATGTCCAGTCAGCTTTCTTATAGTTACGCCGTTTTACTGATTGTATATTACCATGGTAGTTCATAGTTAATTTTATAATCAAGTGGTCACTACCCAAGTTTTCTTGAGTGACCTGCCATTCAAAATTTATAGCAATATCTGATGATGCAAATGTAATATCCGGCGAACTATTTTGCATGATACCCCTAACTAATTTAATACGTGTATGCTGACCGTTATTAAGGTAACTAAAACCATTTTCGAGAGCCGAATCTGATAACTGTATCCCTCTCGTCTCCGTCCTGTATGACCAGTTTAGATGATGCGCGTTAAAATCTCCAGCTATTAAGGATTTTCTTGGACATAACATAAATAACTCATCCCAGTCAGATTGAGAGGTTCTAATCGACGACGGACAATACACTGAAACTATGTATTCTAGATCGCTACAATTTAGTAATTTTATTTTAATTATTTCAATACCCGAATTATTTAAAGTAGTAGGACATACCTGAACCTNAATAGTCCCGTATATTATAAGTAACTGGGGACTGTCCAGTGGCCAGCAGGTGTACTACAAATTGAGCTTTTAAGCAACGCTCCGAGTCCCGCCGTCCGGGCGAGCGCCTTCAATATTGAACCCCGCCCGGAGATAAACGATTTAGGCACACGGATAGTACTACTTAAAACCACTTTCCAGTCAGAAGAGGAATTTATTCAAGTTCAATGGGTAGTTTTTGTATAACCCTTCAAAATATAAATTGAATAAATAGTTTCCGTCACGATTTTCATCCGAGATGGCAATTTTATAGTAAGAACCTATGTAAGGCATGGGCCTGAACTTCAGGACTTGAAGTCCCCGGTGCTCAAACGGCGCGCACAAGAGGCTCTCTCAATAGTGCCGCCAAAGCCTCTAAGTCGCGCTGCGAACTTTGCGCGTGTCATAACTCGCAGTGTGCGCTGTGTGCTTTTATACTTACAGCGCAACTTTAATCTTACAAAGGCGCCTTTTTAAGATACTTTGTAAACACGTTTTATAAACTATGTTGGGAATTATCCTGCTTTCGCCTCCGAGATTNCTGCAGGCTGCAGTCATGGGCGCGCGGATGGCGAGCTGCGTCATAGAAGAGCACAACAGGAAGCCGAAGTCAAGGACGTTCTGGACGGACAGCCGAACGGTTCTCACGTGGCTGCGAACGGGCGCACTTTCTTACAAACCGTTTGTGGCGCACCGAATAGCGGAAATAGAAGAAACCACAAAAATAGAAGAATACTGCCAACCAAGATAAACGTCGCGGACGACGGAACGCGCGACGTGCCCAGGGACTTCGATGGAGAGCATCGGTGGTTCAACGGGCCCAGTTTTCTGCGGGACGACCCAGCGACCTGGCCAACAGAAGAAAAGAGAACTCAGCCAGCGACCGGAGAGGAAAGGACGAACCTCATAGACAGGAGAGCCACGAAGCTTCAGGAAGTGATCCCACAGTGGAGTGGAGCATGGAGGTCTGTGAACTCTGTGAGAACTAGCGAGTGATGTAGAATTCTTGTTGATCAGCGCTCTATTTGAAAAAGCCACTACATTAGAACATACAAGAGGAGCTATGACAATTTATCCTGACCCTAGAGAAGGAAGGGAGATTAGGATATACAATTAAAAGCTGATACCTAGAGTAATTAAAATGGGGAATCAAGTAGTTAACTTCAAGTATTACACCGCTATAACCAACGAGTATCTTGCCGGCTTTTCTCGGTGGTTGAGACTTACGAACCGGTGTAAATTCACGCGTCGCGACTATCACAACATCTCCGGGTTCAAAGCCCACATACGAGCCAAGTCCCTAGCGAGTTTCGTTTACGAGGAGCCTGATTCCCTATCAAGCCCAGAGAACGCCCAGTGCGATCCTAACTCCGCCCCGCTACCGATTACTCTATCACCTTAGAACACCAAACCCATGCTCCCAGTAGGGACATGGAGTGAGTTTCCCGCAGTCTCGGACGCCGACAACGGTGGCTGTCAGTCATTTTAACTAAGAGGACCCGCAAATCCGCGGCCTCTCCCCCTCCTTCCCCATCAGCAAAGGCGCAAGGCTAACTCGGGTCTCTCCCAGCCCTTCGACTCACAGTCGAGTACTGGGCTGACTGTCGGAGTCATGGAACACACTCGAAAAGCACCATATCAACCTTTTACACGCAAAATCGAGCACCGAGCCCTGACACGGTTTCTCGACGAGAACCGTATAGGTTATCACGGTTTCTCGACGAGAACCGTAGGTTATCACACTTTCCCGCGCGAGGAGGAAAGGGAGCTGCGGTTTATTGTCCGTGGCATCCCCGAAGCCCAAAAACTCACGTCCCTCCTCAAGGCCGTCAAGCACATTGGTCCAATCTGAGCCGGATATCGGCAGACGGGAGTAGGAAATTCTTCACTAGGAAATTGAAGAGAGAAAATGCCAGTCATCCGTAGGCAGGGGGCAAGATCGAGGCGGCGGAGCGCCCAGAAGAGGGCGCCACCGCGACAACGTGGTTCCGCGGAAGCGTCATAGACCCTCTGTCCGACTACTACCCGCGCGCGAACCGATCCACTAAGATACCCTTCGTCACCTTCGCCCTAGCAACCCAGTCGTGTGCCGTAGTACGTCTTCGGCGTAGGCGTTGAGAGTCCCGCCGTCGCGAGTGTGAGTACTTGTGTGTCGAGAGCGATATCGCCATCCCTCTCCCGCGAAACTGGACGCCATCTATCGATATTGAAGCTTTTAGTGTTGTGAGTGTATATCGCGTATTAGTGAGGGTAGTCGGACAACAGAGTACCCACCGCATATTTGAAAAATATCACCTTTACCCAAAACTCATTTAACCGTCTACCCGCGAGTACATACATCGTTTATCGGAATACCGCAAATCCCGGCAAAATGTCGGATGATGAAAACTCGGCGCGTTCACAACGCCAGCCGGCTTACAGACACCTAGTGGCCTGCACAACACACAGCCGCCGCCACTAGCGGCAAGCCCAGGCAGTATTCAGCCGCGGGCCCGTTGCCACCCCGAAATCTCAGAGGGATCAATATCGGAAAAGAAAAGGCCCAGAGTCGGGCCTTCACCCAAACAGAGCTCATCGACGCCGGAACCACAAATTTCACCGGTGAGCAGGTACGTTCCCGAGTACCGCGGTGACGTAGACCTAAGGACTGATCACGTATAGTGCAAAAACTCATAGTGCGAGTACAAACAATATACTATAGGATAGACAAGGATAGCCTACGACGTTAACACTCAGCACTTCCCATCCCTACTACCCCGCCAGGCACCAACTAAGATCAATAGGGAGACCTGAAGGGCAGAGCTGACAGATCTCACCCCCAACTGGCGACTAAAAAACGCGGAGGAGGTTGAGGTTATCTACAAAAATGTAGACTACATTAGGTAGATCTTTATATTGAGATTGAAGCGGCAGTCGAACACTTGCGCAAAAAGCGCCAACTACGCCACTTGTGGGCAACAACCCGGTGCCCAAGAGTCGAGGCCGACTAAAATCATTTCACACATGTGCTGTCAGAAGCTGTGAAGAAACGGCGCAGTGCTTGCAGGGAGAGTCGAATTTAGGGAATTGATTCTTTACGGTTTCCTGGATGTATTTTGAAGTTTTTGTTTATACTTAGCAAATTGCAATAATACGTCATGTTCCCCCTTTTCTTTCTTTTCTTATTATAATTTCTTTATTGAAGTCCTAATGAACTTCAAGGCGGGGAGCATGGTTGGGCCTATGTCCAACTTTCTTCTCTTCCTTTTCTTCGGTGGCTCCAACTCTCAAATTATCTAGCTGCATGAGATGGTTTCCCACTAATCTGTTTATCGGATTCGGGGCCAGCACCTTCGCAGGAGCCAACCTTCGCGAAAAACCTCTATGGAAAATTAAGAAAAAACTCTGTTGTCTTGAAACGTCTGTCAACTAAGTCAAATATGAAAAATCCGCTGAATATTTGCTGAAGATATTGAAATAATCAAAACCGCAAGAAATATCGACGGGTCGACCCTCGAAGCCTGGTCTCCGTCTTCTGATCCGCAGGTTGGTGGTTTCCGTTTTATGCAGCTGTATTTTTGAGTTGTTTGGAGTCACCAGCCGACCCCCGCATCATCTTTCTTCCCCGCAATTTTTTTTATTCCTGGTGTGGCTATTTACACGCCACATCATAGATCATGTGACAGACAGCACGGATGATCTCTTTACACTCTCATCAAGAGAAGCAAAGGAGATTTGCTGCCTTGAGAATTCCCTTCTGAAGGAAGGAGAAGCCACTGGAAAAATCTAGCCGACTGAAGAAGATCGACGTTTACCTGGATCAACGCCGGATCCTGAAGCTGAGGACGCGCACCAAGAAGAGAGGTTCGGGAGAAGGATGGACCAACCCGATAATACTCGACGGGAAAAGTCAGATTGCCTGCTCGTCATAGGGTATTATTACAAGAAGTTCTACCATTGCAACTCTTCGACGGTGATCAACGAAGTGACGCAGAAATTATTTGGAGACTACTGGTGAGCTGTAAGATATTGGAATTTTTGGTAATGATGGATCACACATGGGTGTCAATGGTGCGAAGTCCACAAAG